TTCAATGCAGTTTTAGGAACAGGCAGATCTACTGTGTGAACGTAATTTCCCATTGCTCATTTGTAGCCAGTCTTAAAGGGCAAATGCACATCGACGTAAAATTTCATGTGCCTTTTCATGTCCTAGTATAATTATTGTTTTCATAATTCTTGCTGCTGCTATTCTTCTCACGATGAAACAGTTGACAGACGCGTGGAACCCACCATTGTTTGGGTGACATGCGACCTGTATTATGCGCAGTTAGGAAAGGGACATCTGGATACAAGTTAAGAATAAATGTCCACAGCTAGATACTACATACAGTCGGAAGACTGTATATAGTATCTAGTTACAGTGGTGGACAGTTACTCTTAACTTGTATCCACATGTCCCTTTCCTTTTTGCATTTATTATTGGCTCAACACCCTATTAGTTTTAAAGGGCAATTAATAGGTACATGTATGTGTCATCTGTGGTTGGCGACCCTCAGGATGTGGCTGCAGCATAACTGACCCATGAAACCTCCGCACTGTCCTGATTGAGAAAAGTAGTTTCTGAACATTCTGCTTTGGTCAAGCGTTAACTAAGTTACTGATTCTCATGTGTTTGTTCTGCTTCATAACCTCATCAAACCTGGATATCTCGCAGTGCCACGTAAGTTTTCTCCCCTGCAATGTGAATTTTTGATCGAGTGATCCTTGCAATTTCCAGTGAAGGGAGGGAGTGAAATCTGATCATCAAACTTAGGTCAACCATTCATCACTGGGTTCCTACACTTGGAAACTTCTGTATTGACTTAAGCAGAGTCTCTTCTCTTCATAGACGATGCAAAGCACAGCAAACCACAGGTCGGGATTCTTTTCGATAGTTGACCATATACACGACAAGGCGTAGAAGTAATGAGTTTGAATATCGTATGTTGTTTGTGCATTGTATTTCTATAATTGGCACGACCGTGATCACTGAATAACCATGGTCTGTTTCTGTTTTCTCTTCACTGTGTCCTCTTTTTTGATGCGAGCAGCAGGTAAGAGGAATGCCGAAGGTTACAAATCTCCGTGAAGACATTTTCAGTTCAGCCGGTGATCCAACCATCGACTCTTCTACCTTCATGTATATGCCACGTGTATCGCAACAGTAGTCATGGAATACAGTGTGTTATGTCATGTGTGCACGATACTAGGGATTTGACAGCAGTTCACAAAATGGGGAGGAACAAGGAGGAAGTGGGAAAGATGAAGGGAGCACTATAGCAAAGGTTGCATAAAAACCCCAAAGGACACAGCAATGCATCATAATTTTGTACAAATCAGCTCCGTACTCACCGCTCCGATTTTACGCTCTCTGGAACTCTTTTCCAGTCAGCCGAGAGGTGCTGTGGAAACTTTCCGCCGGGGTAAATGTCATGTGATCGCTTCACCATGACAATTGTCTCGTTCGGTTCGCTTTCACATCAGTGTGGATGGTACTGGATGCGCCCGTTAGTCACACTAAAAGTAGCTGTTTGGGTTTTTTAGGAGTACCACCAGTCACAAGGAGCTTTGTACAAGCACGTCCTGGACGTAACGAATGTTGTTTGAGGCTTGTATGATTCGTCACAGAGAGCATACTACCGTAAATTACTGTTGATCCGCCCCCACGCCGTGTTGCTTCCCAGCTGGTTTTCGGCAGAGGGCGTGAATCAGATCAAGTCGTTCAAGTGCAGTACGATGTACAACAAAGCAGAAGATCAGACCTGGAATGCTGGATTGTGCACATTTTCATCCTGCTCTGGCACGTATTGTGTACGTCAGTACATGCGTCGGTTCAACATCGTATTTCGTTGCGTACGCCGACGTCCCTTCACAGTCAGAAATTCGACAGGGGGCGGGAATTACAGCGGGTGCGGATCAACTGTACTTTACGGTGGTAATACTCTAAGTTTTAAGTTATGTTTACAGTCCATTCAGAAAAAGATGTTATCCTAGCTTTTGGCCATAAATGGGTCAAATTTTGAGTTTTTCACAATTTTTTCTGCAATCCCCATAGAATGGTCTTCCAATTATGTTTCTGAAGTCCATTTCTCCGAAAAGCAAGTCATAACAAGAATAGGATTTCGGCCAGGTTTTGTCTTGTAAGCACTGAGTAGGGAAATGCCATGAAAATCCGATCCGTTTCACTCCACTTGCACCGCTGCACTGTCCATTTCGACCCCCAGGTGAGGTACCTTTTTCGGACCCTTTTTCTAACCTCAAATTTTGCGGCACTGCGAAACGAAAAATCGCCAAATACGGGAGCTCGCCAGAGCCAGCGCTCATCTTTTTATGAATGGACTGTAGGGTAGCTTTTATCAGAATGATTCCCACACGACGCCATTCCAGTCTTTACATACTTATTTCTGGTCGGAAAAGTACTCTTGCGTAAGCTATGGCCACGTTCCGTCCATTGCCAGGAATGCCAAAATGTGAAAAAGTAGTGAATGTATTCGATGAACAACGGGCATGGATTGAAGTTGCACACAGTATTTGGTGTGTGCGTGTGTGTGTGGGGGGGGGGGGTGCGAGAGGGAGAGAGGAGGTGGTGTTCGTGCAGGTGTGTGGGTGTGTGGGTGTGTGTGTGTGTGTGTGGGGGGGGGGGGGATGTATGCTCTTGAGCATGAAAGCCATTCATTCTTTTGCTAATTCCCGGCATGAATTTTGTGTTGGCTTTGTGTGTTGTCTTCCTCATCACTGCTGGCAGACGTTCCACAAACTGAGAGTAAGTTTCCTATGCAGTCACAAAGCTGCTTACATCTAATGCCCCCATCAAGGCTTTATGTAGCAATCTCGTGACCGCCCCTGGTTCTGAACTATTCATTTAAAGTGGGGAAATCTGAGTTGTCTTTGGTACAGTGACCATCAGGCAATCTCCCTCAAGGGCATCCTAGTGGCATAAGAATATGTTACCACTGCCACAGCAAGAACTCAGGACTCTTCTAGTTGTTTTGTAGCAAACTCCACGCAGGCTAATTCCGAATTCTGGCATCGCCATTCTTTAGGGTGTTTTGTGAAGCTATGCAGGGCTTGATCGAATTCTATCTTTTTCGAAAGCCAGCTTGAGTTTTCAAAGGTTGCTATGACATTTTATGGTCGTACCCGGGCCTATCCATAGTGCATGCAAGGTGTTCAGGTCAGGTGGAAAACATTGCTAGGCAACCGTGGAAGTGCTACGTCGAGTATTGTGCTACTCATGCTATACAGCGGTTATGTTACTCGTATAATGATATCTTTTTACCCTCACATTATGGATTAGCACATTGCTCCTTGCTGCTTCCTGATAGCTTGTGCTGGTCACCTGATGATCAAAACTCTTCAAACGTGTTCTCTACATCTGGGATAGGGGCGTGCTTCATAGTAGCATAAATATGTAAGCAATACCTGCAGGTTTGCAGTCCTCACTTGAACGAGTGGCAACCATGGACTATGTTGACTCCCAGCGTCACTCCCCGTCCTTACAGCAGTCGGGTTTACTGGGTGGTACATGTAATGCATGTGTATGTTCAGTGCATTTTTCTCTTTTCACCTAATCTTGTGTTTTTTTTTTGTTGGTTTGTGTGCGTTTGCCGCCTGCAGTCGTAGACACAAGAGGTTAGTCTGAACTATATCTTCTTATGTTATTCCATGCGGCGAGGCGACTGATATGTCAGACCCATGCTGTTCCTTGGGCTGCGCTGTCAAACTCTTTGCGCGGCTACAAAGTTGAATGGGCTTCCAAGAACTAGAATGAATGCAGGCCAGGGGACTTAAACTGATTGAATTAGAGTGGCAACACGGTGCATACAATATATTTTCTTCTGGCTAAATGGACACGGTAGTGCCTAATGTAATCACAAGAGGACACCACTATTCAATTAATGCATGGCACCTATCGCAAAACAACATGTCGGCATGGTGCTATATCTCTTGGAACATTACCCGGAGCTATTTCCGGTGACATTTGTTTCACTCTGCTTCAGCTCTCTTTGTAAGCGGATAATGGTGTGTTGCTTGCAGCCAAGGGTACTTGTTAGGTTGGAATTGTGTTCACTTTCAATTTCCGACATTTCCTAAACATCCTGAGTCCTTTTAGTCAAGGCTTGTTTGTTTTAATTCCATTTTTACTTAACCCAGTTCATGGAAAATCATTTTTGCGACATGCACCTTCACCCGTGTTGTAATGTGTTTTTCATGTGTGTCATTTTATTCTGCAGAACGTGAGTATTCTATATGCAACCGACCTTGCATCGCACAGAGATGGCACTCCAAAGCTTTGCCAAGGGCTTCCGTTCTGTCGTGTCCTTCCGTATCAATCATGCGTAGAGCCCATTTGGTGATACTGGAATTGTGTACCATACATGTTCATGAGCATGTTGCTATCTTCAATTAACAGGCACTATGGAATGGCAATGAATCTGCACAAATACCAGCAGAAATTGGGTAGAAGCTTTGCACTAGGGGCATGTGATCGCCAGAGCCGGAATGTGGTTCTCACTTTTTCGGTCTTTAAAAAATCAGCAAAGTTGACTCCAGTAAGTTGGGCTAAGCCAGGAGAAGTAGAACTTCTTCAAAGTACATTAACAGTCATGTGCATGTATGTTCTTGGGTACTGATTACCAGCATGGCAAGGTAAACGATTTGGAGCTTACAAATTACAATGTAGTATATACCTCCCGCCACAGAGCAACTCGTGCAGGAATAGGACCATCCCACAACTTACAAGGCTGAATACTGACCATCGCCATTCAAACTGTCCACACGGATACACACACGCACACACACAAACGCAAACACACACACACACACACACACACACACACAAACACACACACACACGCACACATACATATGCATGCTCATTTTCACTCACTTGCCGTGCACGGGATCGGCAGCGCAAGGAAGTGAGTAAGGTGAAGCCGTTGCATAAACACAGCACATACAGACGTAGGTTCATACATAGATGCAGGATCATGCACAGCCACACGGAGCACAGCCTCATCCATAATTCTATATTCCATTCTCACGGGACATGTGACTGGAAGTATGAACCAGTGCAGCTTACTTATACGTGTGACTTTTTCTGGTGTTTTGTGCAAAGCGGATGCAACAACAGCTCCACCAGTAAAAGGTGAGCTTTTATCTCACTGTGTATTTTTGGAGGAAGTCAAAGGCATTGCTTTTTTCCATCCAGCTAGTAGTAGTAGAATTTATTTTGTGAGTCTTTTTTACAGGGTACCTAGTGTGGTGAATTGAACCATAGCGGATATACAAATGTGTGGGTTTGCTGTAGTTGGACTGCTGCATGTTCGTAGTATCCCACAACAGTTGTGTTTTGCGGGCTCTAGAGGCAGTGGGGTGTTCAGGCTTTTATCTAGCCCTCTTCTTCGGACACTTTCTTCGGACACTTTCTTTAGTTTCTATCCACTATCTATTGTGAGTGTTTGTCCATTATCATATCTGCAAAAATGGCATATACACACTTTGATGTGTATGTGAACACAACCAATGTAACTACACGAACCATACTGCTGTTCTAATTGAGGCTAGAAGGACAGTGACATGTCTCATGTGCTTGTTAGACTCAAAGGAAGATCTAAGGAAACAATTGGTGTTGGACAAATTACACATACATAAAGGGTACCCAGTTGGTCCTTTATATGTGCTCATATGCTTGTGCTTGTTCCTACGATGGTACTTGTGATGTCTCTATCTTGTGTACTTGTGATTTCCCGTATATTGTGTATTTGCGATTTCCCATGTCCTGTGTACCAGGCCCACCAGGTCCAGAAGGTCCACCAGGCGGTCCTGGACCAAAGGGTCCTGATGGTCCAGGGGGCAATACTGGTGGCGTTGGTGAACCCGGAGCCCCGGGAGAGCCAGGATTTCCCGGCGGCGATGGCCCCGAAGGTGGCGCGGGCACCCGGGGACAGACGGGAGAGGACGGCGACCAAGGTCCCCCCGGCCCACCCGGACAAAGCGTAGTGTGCCGAACATTAACAGGTGCTTCCATCCCCTGCCCGCCTGGCTACGAGAGTGGAGCATTCTCTGGTGGAGGACTTGCACCAGGCCAGGTCAGTCTGTGGGATAGGCCTAGCTGCAGCTAAGCAAATGCTTTTGCATGGAGACGTTTATGCGGGTTCTTGAGTGTTGTACGGTGATTTTCCACTCCACCTTTCCCCTGGGTTCAAGTTCCTGCCTGACCTGTATCAGAAGATTTCTCAAGTTTCATTCCTTCCCGTTCCATTAGAAATAATTATGTCCTTTAGTATCCTCCACTTCGGCGCAGAAATATATTTGCTTGTGAACGGGAGTGGCTCGTGGGTACCAGCATGTTGAACGTTTCAAGTAAAAGGGAAAAAAAGTAGTGACTTAGCTAATGAAATCGAAAATACATGTGGCCACGTCCTAACATGCTATCACAGTGATGTAAGTGTTCCCACTTTTTCAGATCAACTTCCGTTTCTCATGCATTTCTTTTATGTAAGAGGAACTGCTGTTCTGTGCTTTTGGTTGATGTACAGAAAGGCCCAATAGGACCACCTGGACGTCAGGTGAGCTATACATGATAACCGAAGTGGCCATGTCTGATCAACCACTGGTTGTACTTTGTACCGTTGAGGCAACGAACTAAAAATTCAGTAATAAGAATTGTTTGCGACAATGCATTACCGGTGGTCATAGTCATTCTCATCATTTCTGGAAACTTTAAATTTCGGCACAGTGGTCAAGTGCATTCATGATGCACCCAAGTTTGGTCTGCATTGTCCTCTGCATTGTTGTTGTCATCAGGGTTGCAATGAAACCAGTGTAATAGCAGTGTTCATGCAATTGGACATAAAGTGGGTCTGCTCTTACCGTTTTTGCTTTATATTGAGCTGCACGAAGCCTGGCCACTCTTTCTTGGGGTGTTACCAACAGAGGCCCTGGGCTTTATTCTGTATCAGGTACTAGTGTGTGTGTTACTGTTGTGCACTTGTTTCTCAGGGTGTTCTTGGTCCATCAGGCCCTCCTGGTCCAGAGGGCTTCCAAGGCGCGGCAGGAACACCAGGCCCTAAAGGTGATGATGGCCCACCCGGATTGCAGGTACAGCACTAACAGTCAATCTGCTAAACCGTATGTCCCCTGCAAGCTGCAAGAGTGCCAGTGACGATGCTGATTCTAAAGGATACGAAATCAATCTGAGTCTTTCAACTCATTGTCCAGTCTGGTGCCTTCCTGAATGCTTAACCTGTTACAGTGTGTGTGTAGGGCACTAGAGAGTTTTGAATGATGATATTTTGGCAATGGATGCCAAGCCTCGCAACGCCTCCGGCTGATTGTTCATTCTTCTCCTTGTCCCATAGGGTGCTGCTGGCGTAACTGGTGAGACTGGGCCTCCTGGAGGGCCTGGAAAAGATGTAAGTTTATGAGAAACTATCCCGGTAGTTCTCTAACACCGACACTCTAGTGGCAATGAGTGAACTTCCCATGTTTGCTGCTCAATAGTATGGTCAGTTTGTTACGGTTCAGAACACCCTACCTAATAGTACCCATACCTGTGTGATCTTGAGATTTGTAGTTACTTCTGTAGTACTGTTCTTTTTATTGTTCAGGGCGTGCTGGTGTATGGTGTATACCGATGAAATAAATTCTGCTATGAAGAAAGAGAAACATATTGCATGCACCGTCAAACATGCTTGTTCACTTGTACACTCACATGGATATTCTACATGCAAACGTGTACTAATGGATGGGATATTTCCCTGGGGGTTTCCCTGCACTGGACGATAATGGCCTTCGCATGCATTGCTGTAATTTGCTAGCTACATTGCTAGAGACTGCAGACTGTGCTGCTCTTCTTATCCTTGTGCTACTCCTGCTGACTCACTTTGCATTTGCGCTTCACTATTGTGTCCAGGGTCTTCCCGGCAACCGTGGACCCGACGGCAAAACTGGCGCTAATGGCCACCCTGTAAGTGATGGTCAATGGTTCTTCTACTCACAACTTGCAGCTACTCCATTCTACTTGCATCTCCCATCGTTGGCTGCTTTGCAATACACCATTCGCTTCACTCCATTCATCGACGGTAATGAGCCCTCGTAACACAGAAGGCAGCTTGCATTGCTTTGTTGTGCCGTTAGGACTTTTGTTCAAGATGATTCTAACTAGGAACCATGTGCACATTGTCCTCTTTGTAATGCTATTTCTCTCAGGGACCGCCAGGAATCCAGGGAGCCAAAGGACCGGACGGAATTCGAGGATCAAAGGTGAGCCTCCGGTGGGGTATTGATGGTCGAGAACACACTTTGGGTGAAGTCGTAATTGACCTCTGGGTAACATTTCACAGGGTCGACTGAAACATTGCCATGGTGACGTTTAACTTGGACCATACTCCATGGTACTAGTGTTGTATGTCAACAGCTGTCAAATACTTAATGTATGGTTCTTTAAAAAAAATCACCACTCTTCTAGCTATTTCCACCTTTGTAGGTCTGGTTAGTGGAGGTCTGAAAGCCGATCGCACTATTGCTAGTCTAGTGAGCAAATACACATGCTTTTTAATGAGCTCAAACTGTCAAAGTCAGAGTGTTCTAACTGGAAGAAATACACAGAGACTTCGTTCATCAAGATCATATATTTGTGGGAGTGTGATAAACAGATTGACTATAACTTATAGCTTGAAACTATTTGTGTTTTTCCAGGGCCATATTGGACACACCGGAAAAGAAGGCCACAGTGGATACAATGGACAAAAGGTGAGTAACTGCTCTTGAACGTTTTCTATTTTCAATTTGATTCGTTGATGGAATATTCTTACTTTCTTCCTCTGCTTGTGCTATTTTGAAGCATGGTGGCAGAGTGGCGACTGACTATATTCCCTCTCTCGTGTTTTGCCATCCATGCCCAGGGCACACGTGGAGACCCGGGTAGACCAGGTGGCCAGGGACAATCCGGCCGTGATGGACTGCCAGGACCTATTGGTCCACGAGGTGCCGCTGGTGCAGCGGGATCAAGAGGAGCTGATGGCGTAGATGGTTCAGTCGGCAACCAGGTAAGCGGCACTAGACAATCTGCAGCTGAGGCCAGTGAAACTGGACAGTTTACAACAGCGACTGCACACTCAATGCTCTTCGGTGATGCAGTGCGCCACAAATTATCTTGTACAACAAAGTTGTATGCATCTTAAACAGGCCAGTATGTCACAGAATAGGTATAATTCTACAAGGTGTATCCCCATTCAGGGCTTTATACAAGCACTCTCCAACTTTTCAGTCACTCCTCAAAAGTTACACATTCCCGAGGTGTAGGAGTGCTATACTGGTCAAAGTTGTGTATAGTACTGGTTCTCACGTATCACTTGACTTGAACGAGGTGTATGCCTAATCGACGGCTTTAGCTAGCGTACAGTATTTACAAAATGGTGCACCCACAGCTCGAACGAGAGCGCCAACATTGGACATTGGTAAACCCTGGTACGGAGGTCATAGTTCCAAAGGCAACACGTGGAATAGCAGACAAAGAGGTCAAGGGTCAGCATTCCATGAACGGTAATGAGATCCAGGTTGGCACTGGTCGTGATATCTGCATGAATGGCTGGCACAATTCCCATCCGTACAGAGGGCTGAAGGGGCTGTACTGTGTACAGTGCGGTCTCCTGATGCCATAGTCATATTTCGCTCGCCATAACTGTACATGTATCCAAAGAAATACGAGTGAATTCTCATCACATGTTTCTTGACATAGGAGTGTGCAGTCCACCCTGCAAAAACGCTTTCAATTATATCATGGAACTGTTTTATATGGCATCATTAAGTATGGAACCTCTTCACTGGCTTTTTGTGAACACAACAACTTAAGCCAGCGTGCTCTTCAGTACGTGCTGCAGAGAAAAGAAATGTGACCTTTGCTATGTTGATGCTTGCATGCAGGGTCTCCCAGGTGACCGTGGAGTGGCAGGAGATCCAGGACTGAATGGCTTGCAGGGTCTGAAGGGAGAGACTGGTATTCGCGGCCGTGACGGAGAACGAGTAAGATGTGCATAGTGTGTATCTCGCCAACAACACTATAATGTCCTGGTTAACAAGATCATTAGTGCAATGCACAGTATGGTTTGCCACTTCTCTATGACGGAATATCTTAGCCGGCACTGCTTCTGTAACGCGTGTTAAGAAATACTCATTAGATCGTACTTTTTGCAACTATCTGATATCCCACTTGCTGGACACCTGTGAGTGAGAAATGTTCCCTAGTTGTCTTCGCTAGGCACTACATTCATTTCCCTTGTATGAGCCACTCAGTCATGGGCTACACATGTAGGGAACAAGAGGAACTTACTTATGTCTTGCTGTGTGTCTTGTCAATACCCCAGTAGTATTGTCTGTCGAATTGCAAATGTTATGAAATTTACTTTTAGCTGCAAAGACGTTGCTGTGTTTGCAATGAAAGTTGTTTGGAAGTTGACTGCACAAGCAAACATCTGGTCCTAGTTGGAACTAAATTACCAATGCTGTAGGCTATTTAGCTGGGTTATCTCTTTCATGGCAACTCTGCAGCGCGGTCTCATGAAGCTTTTAAGCTATGAACACTGATGCCTGCATGCTCAACCATGGCTATGTCCATCCCCACTAGCGATGGTCTAATGACGTTGCTTCCCAATTGCCTTGGCCAGTGAACACTGGCTGGATATTGCTGCGACAATAGTTTTAATAGCGAGCTCTCGATGCGTGAGGCAGGTGCTGGGAGGGCTCCATTGCTGCCGCCTCTATTCAGTATAATACATGATGTGCTGATCTCGTTCAAGTAGCCGTTGTGCATAGTGCGATGTAGTAGTGTGCTTGTACCTACTACGTACACCAATGATGTCAAGTTCATTGCATTTCCGCCACCTTTATTCTCTTTTACTGCTTTATGTAGGGTGCCAATGGAAATGACGGAGTAGATGGCCAGAAGGGACCCAATGGAGAGCTGGTTAGTTTACACTAGGACATGTCATGTGATCAGCTCTACGCTAGGACATGTCATGTGATCAGCTCTACGCTAGGACATGTCACGTTATCAACTCTTCTCGTTTTCAAAGTGAAGATTGTCAAGCAGATCACTATGATTTGGATATTTTCACGAAGTATTTCCCCATAGAGGGCAAGACATTAGCAATGACAGCTAATAGCTGATTGCTGCTACAAGCTCTGCGATGAAATAGGGTTGACTGACAAGTCCATTCCCTGCGTTAAGAACATGTTTATCTGCCTGCTTGTCCCTGTCTTGTAGGGAACCCCAGGTACATTCGGCGCCGGTGGACCTCCTGGAGATGCCGTAAGTACATGCACGACAAGTACACAGCAACTATTACATGTCCATGCATTCGGCCATGGTGACTGATGTGTGCATACACCACTATAGCTCTACAAGCTACCTGGTTACCATGGGAGCACATACTACCCTCATTCAACCACGGATGCATCCTAACAAGGATGGAACCAAGTTAAGTACATAAGTAGTAGTGCAATAACATAGACTTGACCAGTCTAACACCATACATAGACTTGACCAGTCTAACACCATACATAGACTTGACCAGTCTAACACCATACATAGACTTGACCAGTCTAACACCATACATAGACTTGACCAGTCTAACACCATACATAGACATACTATGGGCGATTACTTACATTATTTCATGCCACCTTCCCTACCACAACACTGGTACATGTAGTTGACTGGAAGACTGAAAAGTAGTCCGAAAAGTAGTCCGAAAAGTAGTCCGGGAAAAGGTTTCCCTGCCGACGAGATTGCTGCTATGCCCCTGACGCAGTGTGTGAGCATATCAGCCAAGCTCAGCAATGGGGTGCCCAAATACACCCCGGCTTTTCAGTGAATATTACCAAGACTAAACTGTACACGCAGGCCATCATGCACATTAACGCCTCCTAGTGAGAAGATGACACGGCCGTAAACACAGGTTGCTCATAATAGGGGATGAATTTGATAGCAATCCAATCAAATGTCTTTTTGTGATCACTGTGCAGGGTGTCAAAGGAGAATCTGGAACCATCGGTGAACCAGGTGCACGAGGAAATCAGGTATACCTGCATATGTTGTGTGTGTGTGTATGTGTGTGTGTGTGTGTGTGTGTGTGTGTGTGTGTGTGTGTGTGTGTGTGTGTGTGTGTGTGTGTATGTGCATGGGCGTGTATGCGTGTACTGCATGCATACCTAGTGGATCCGTGCATTTGGTATCAGCATGTTTGTGTGAGACGGGAGGTTCCACATCCATTCTCCGTAGGTGTGAGTTTGAATGCACATATCTGCATGTGTGTATAGAGTGGCAAAGTTTCTAAGTGATGTTTTCTATCATCGTGCTCAGGGATCACACGGTTCAGATGGATCACGTGGACGCAAAGGAACCATCGGTGCACCTGGCGACGTCGGACCCAAAGGACAATCAGGAGAATCAGGCCCAACGGTATGTTGTATACACGTAAAGTGATTCCTGTTCTGCTGTCCCACTCTGTGCATCTGAGTACTGTGTTTGAATGTAGCCTCCAGTAAACCATTGCTCCTTTCCGTGGCCTTTTTCAACTGGTCTGCGGCAGAACACCATGTACAGATTTGCTTCAAACAAAGTCTGTTCTAAATTCGCCGGCCTTTTCTTTGCTGTTTCTGTCCATGCCCGTATTCCCTGCAGGGTGAAGTCGGTTCCATTGGCAGCGTGGGCCATCCTGGTGACACTGGCTTACAGGTGAGTGCACTAGTCACTCTGCTGGGCAGTGTGAATCATCATGTTGGCTGCCATTGAATAGTTCTACCTAGAAACATGCCTATTGGTGGAGGCATAACAAGAACTTCATCATGATAATGTTTGGCACGGACATCATGTATCTGAGCCACCGCATCAAGGCGGGATAGTTGGATGTCACATTTTCCAGGGTCAAAGGTGCGTATCAATTGCATTCTGTTATTTCTGATGTTTTGATTGCCACTACAGGGCCGCCGTGGCAGACCCGGAAGACAAGGCCGACCTGGAGCAGTTGGTCTACTGGTCAGTGATGGAACATGCTTTACCTAGCACAGTGTATTGCTAAGCCATGATGAAAATGTGTGGCTCTTGACATTTCCTCAGGGTGCAAAATTCGTACGGACATGATTTGCCTGGGTAATCCGCCCAGCTACGGATACCGTTGTACACCGAAAAGGCAAACTCTGTTGGTCAGTAATCCGTGTTAGTAGGCTACACAAATGACTAGGGGTGAAACGAGTATCTATTTTGACCAATCGATCACTCGTTCATAATATTCGATCGAGTATCCGATTATTTCGAGTATTTTATCAAAATTCAAAAGCACTAGATTTCCGAGTTCTCGACCAATTCGGAAGAAATTATCTGTGAACATAGAACAAAATTCGCCAACGTCTTGTACAGAGTGTAAAGTAACGATTTTCATCAGTACTTTCATATCTCAGAACGTTACTTGCCGTGGTGATCGCATCGTCCAAGTCTTAAAATACTGACTTAAATCCATGCATAAAGCATGCATACCAGTGGACCAGCGGTACAACAAAAGTTTTTGAAAATACAATGCCAATACCAAAAAAAAAAAAAAAAAAAAAAAACGATCGAGTGCAAAATTTCGAATACTCGCTCGTTTGAAATTTTCGAACGAATACTCAAATATTCGAACTAATCGTTTCACCCCTACAAATGACCCATACACAATACAACAATAATAGCAGCCTTACGTAATGTTGTGAACTGCGTTCTTGTCCTTTAAATGCACCATTGCTTCAGAGTTTCAATCAATACGTAGGCTTGTGCATGCAATGCTCTACCTTCTTGTCATCTTTCCTCCTGACACATTGTGTGCGCAGGGCCCGATCGGTGGAGATGGTCGTGCCGGACAAGAGGGTCAACAGGGAGGCAAAGGAGAAAAAGGATTCCATGGCAGATACGGTCAAACGGGCTCAAAGGGTCAGATGGTAGGTGACTACAGCTGCGCTCATTTTGCTTGCATGAGAAGGACTGAAATGTGCGGTGATTCTTGATTGCACTGCTGATGTGCTGGCTGCTATGCTGGATACACATGGACAACACACAGGGATCTGCAGTGAGCTTTCCACTTGCCCAGGAGTTAAAAGGTGATTGTGTTGGCCTTGTCATGCGGTGTGTTGACTGCAGGGAGACAGAGGACGTGATGGTGACTCTGGAAGACCAGGACGACAGGTAAGAATGATGTTCTCTAGTTTTAAGAGCTTGACATCCGTCAACAACTTGAGCCGTCCAATGCTCTACGCATCGAGATTTGATTTGCCCGTTTGAGCTGGTCATGTGAATGCAGTATGTACTAACCGTTAGGGTTATACATTACGTGATGATCTCTACATTGTGACATTCTTGTGCGTAGGGACCCGCTGGACGAGATGGCAGTTCTGGCATACCCGGACGCGATGGCCTACCTGGAACAAACGGCAAAGATGGCCGCCCTGGAAGGGTGGGACTAATGGTGAGATAATTGCCGCATGATGTACCCTCTCTACACATGAAAAAAGATATTGTGTGTGTGTGTGTGTGTGTGTGTGTGTGTGTGTATCTGTCTGACCTTTGTGTACAAGTATATTCTGGCATTGCTCGTCCACTCGCTCACACTTCGACGTGTTGATGTAGTTAACATAGACCTATTCTGCTTTTGCGAGCTGAGTGTGTGGACCTATGCAATTAAATTGTATCCAGGCATGTTTCTGACAAGGCTGAGTATAGGCCACGATATGCCGAGTCTCAGCATTTCCCAGCACAGTGCCATGATGGCGCAACCAGCTCAGGTTGCCTTGCCGCATCCAGTCATGGAATTCTTTTCCTGACTGCTGCGAAATGCACTGTACGCTGTGTGTGTGTTTGTATTGTATGTAGGGCGGTGCTGGTGATCGAGGCATGCGCGGTGCCACTGGCCAGGATGGTGCAAGAGTAAGTCTCCGCTTTGGCAGAGCATAGATACTGACCTACTGCACTGGTGTGGAATGTTTGGTGAAGTTACTCACAACACTGCTGAAGGACCGCCTATCTCTGGTCTCTCATCCTCTTCTTAACAATGAATACTCTCGTAAAAATGCATCATCTTGTTCCAAATGGGATGTATTCTTTAAAACGGCTGTTTACACCAGAATTTGGCTAGTTACCTGCATGTTCTGAAAGGCTTGGTAAGCTCTTGTGCTGCATACTTATTCTCTATGATTGATCTATAGTTTTAGAGGACCTTTACCAGTGGGCTTCTTCTCGATGATCCGTGATTCATTTTTCTCAGAATGGCAAGTGTGTTTGGTTTCTTTCTTTCAGGGAGACCCCGGTGAGGACGGACTTGATGGACGAAATGGACTGCGTGGACCTAAGGCAAGATTATTGTCAGAAGAGATTGAATGTAAAGCTTAAGGTCATTCAGTGGCTCTCAGGAGCACTATCCTAGGGAAACTGGTGGGTTATCCCACTTTGTATTGTTTTTGTCGACAATGGTCTCGACCAAGATTGCTATACGGCTCTGATTGCACTTCTACGTGAGACAGGGCATTCTCTGTTTAATGTTGTAGAGTGTTTTCTGTGTTTTGTATGCAGGGTCCGAAAGGCACAACTGGTGCACGTGGAGACCAAGGAGCAGATGGCACACCCGTAAGTATCACCTCTAAAAATGCACCTTTTTGAACATTTTTCTGCTGAATTGGACTGTGGCGATTTTGTGTCAACCTCAAAACCTTCACTTGTGGATTGTTACTGTTCACTTTTGTGCCTCATAGGAAGTATAGAGATAGGATGTTAGTAAGTTCCGGAAAGAGAAAGCTCTCAATAATGTTATTCTAGCGACTTGCAAAGGACACAAACCGTGACCAACCACTCCGAGGTTCGAAACTGCGCCGGCATCACTTGCCCCCGATACACATACCGTTCTGATTGGAGTTGTCTGATTCAGTTACATGGGCTTATGTGTATATCTGTGTGTGTCTGTGTGTGTCTGTGTATGTCTGTGTGTCTGTGTGCATGCTTGTGTGTTTGTCTATGTGTGTACAAATGTACATGCATGCATTTATTATGTGTGTATATCGTATGTGACAGGGTGATCAAGGAATGAAGGGACGCCCAGGAGATACCGGAGTTCCAGGACTCGACGGAGAAAGCGGTCTAGCTGGCGAAACTGGCAGCAGAGGACTGAAAGGTTTCAAGGCAAGTGGTGAAATGAGGCAGTGTCTTTGTAGTCATCAACTCTCATTTCAGTGAAATCCAGCCTGACTAGTGAACAAATCAGTGTGGTTTTTTTGGAGGAGGGAGCACCGCGATCATCCATAGCTCAGCATGAATTGGATCACAAAAGCATAAGTGTTGATATGTGTTTGTAGCAAGTTAACGCGATGGCAGTGTGTCATTTGGTCAGGCATCACATCCCGCGTAGCTTGGGTTCAAACTATACTGTGCTGCTGTACTTGCCCAAGCATTCTCAGCGGCTGGCTATTTCTATGGACTAAATCGATGATTTCCGTGCATTCTTCTTCTGCTGTGCTAATGCAGGGAGAGAGCGGCCGAAGCGGAAGAAGAGGTGACAAGGGTGATGCTGTAAGTATGTTTGCATATACTCGGAGTCCGAGGCGGAGGGTTGTTGAACAGAGCATTCCTGCTCCATGCGTGGCATGCCGGCCTTGGCGATGTCTGCACTCATCGGGGAAATAGCCCATCGGAAGCCGGAAAGTCGGGACTGGCATGTTGGGACCAAATCATTATTTCTACACACCACTAAGAACTTCGGAAGTCCAGTTTCTCTGTCTCTTGTTAATTACTATGAACACAGCCCTACTTGGAAACATGTGGATGACAACATAAAACAAGGCAAACTCCTGCTTCAATGTCCATAGTAATTAAAATAGTTGTTGTAATGTCTGTGTTTTACTTCTGCTCTTCTTTCTTTGTTCTAGGGACTAGAAGGATTTAACGGAATTAACGGCTTACCAGGTCTTTCGGTGAGTGACCTAATCAATCTGGCATTGCAGTTCATCGTGCTTGTGTCCTGTGATTAGTACTGGCTTGGTTGGAACTGATACCTAGTGATCATATGAAGTCAATCATTTTTGGATTGAAGTCTGTTCGATGACTGGCACAATCTGCAGCACAAAGAAAAAAATGGAACGAATGTTTTAAGCGGAATGAAATGCCGCATGAAACGAGTTTTCAGCGTGTGGACCATTTACAAGGATCAAATACGTAGCTGAGTTATGCCAAGAGTACAGAACCACATGCATGGTTATTCTCTGTTGGTTCTGCCTATCATGCTGTCTAGGTGTCACCCACCAACACCAAACGGCTATGGACATTTTAGTGACCTCCTGTACTGTACCTTAAACTCGTGTGCTTGCGTGTTACTATGTGTGACTTCATGTGTTACTATGTGTGACTTCATGTGTTACTATGTGTGACTTCATGTGTTACTATGTGTGACTTCATGTGTTACTATGTGTGACTTCATGTGTTCTTTCTTATGAAAGGGATCAACTGGACTACAAGGCCCAAGAGGCAATCCTGGAGAGAATGGTGTACAGGTTAGCAGTGTTTTCAGCAATGGATATCACTGATATCAAGTTTAGTTCCTATGTTAACATGAAACCTGGAACCACCAAGAATGAGTGGTAGTGATTTTGCAAGAACCGACTAACAGACTTTGTATCATCATGTAGTCATTCACATGAACATGAATGCATGACTTTTACGTCGAAAATTTATAGCTAGAAAATGTATAGCTGTTTTGACCGCTGAGTTTGAATGTTATCCGCATGCTTGCCTGTGTTTGGGCAGGGCTTGACTGGTCTTGATGGCCTTCCTGGACCGGATGGTGGACAAGGACCAAGTGTAAGTTTCTTTCCCAGCGTACTGCATGTGGTTGTGTTTGTGCTGCAGCCTTACTGTAGATAGTACAGGACTGTTACAAATGTTACCCAACTGTGTGAAGTCCATGCAGACTGCCTGTCCAGATAGGATTGGACTATGATACCCGTGTTGCCATTGCTGCCCGGTTGGTCTTGCTGTTGCTGTTGCTGCTGCTACAGCAGTGTTCATCGCCACCATCGTCCTTGTGATGGTCGCCGTTGTTGTAATCAGGAGCCGGTGCATGCAGATGCTCTGAGCCAAATTGATCTTGACGTAAAACAGTTAGCTTAGAACTTACCTGTGTGTGGACGCTCTGCACCTGCCTTGGCCTCGGAGCATTTCATATTGTGGTATTTATCCAGGTAACAATTAAATTAATGTGCATTCTTCTTCCTCTGGTGTTGGCCAACTTCTGTTTTCAGGGTGCTAGTGGACCTCAAGGCAGTCAAGGCTCCGCCGGAGCTGCAGGCGCAGCGGTGAGATAGATTAGTGCAGTAAAACCTTGTTAAAATGTACTCTGTCGGGGGAATGGGAAAAGCACTTAGTAACGTGTGTGTGTGTGTATGTGTGTGTGTGTCGTGTGTGTGTGTGTGTGTGTGTGTGTGTTTGTGTAGTAACATGTGTACTTTTGTAGGCAGGTTTGGACTCGTGAGCCTAAACCCCCTTAGACATTTAACATGCCAAATTACTAAAAAATCATTTTTTCATGCCGAATTGCTAAAAATCATTTTCGAGTATTACTGAAATGCTCGCTGTGACAAGCATCACAGTTGCATCACAGGTGATAGATTGGTGGTGGAGTCAGTCACAGCTCCACTCCTACCTGAGTTCTTCACAGCTGCATGCTGGTCAGCCTGCAAGCTGGCTTCTTGACAGCCGCTTGACAGGTAGAAGTGTGTTCCTGAAATGATGAAAACAGAGGCTGTCCCTTGCACAGGGTGACATCAAAACAGCCCACATACTGGTATCTGTCTTCTTCTCACTATGGACTATCGTCATTGTATACTCCAGAGCCTTGCTTCTACACGAAATCCAACAATAATAAATACCTGCTGGCTGGGGCTGCAGCTGCACACATTCAAGGTTACAAACACAAAAGAAAACAGCTGGTTGGTTGGTTATACTGTAGCCTGGCACAATGCCTTCTAGCCAGTACATTAGGGAGGATGCGGGGGGGGGGGGGGGGGGGGGGGAGAGGAAGGCTGGATTGTCAGAGTAGTAACAGAGTGGGAGGAGGAAAGGCAAATCAACAAGTAGGGTTTAGGTATAATCCCACCACCAAAGATCTCTCAGTTTGTATCGCATGCGGAACATGTCACTGGCATCTTGTGGTTATAAAAAGAACGTACTGGTTTCAAGTCTGTTCTTTTCGGTTCCCTTTTCATTCTCTTGAACTAATGAATTTTTTCGTATCTCTTGCCATTTCACGCATGGTCTTCTTCAGGGTGGCCCAGGAGCACCAGGAGTACCTGGTCTTGAGGGTGAATCTGGCCCGATGGTAAGTCTTATCCAACCTATCACGCTCTTTAGCTAGACCAACACATTATCTTCAACGCGTGTAGGTGCATGATTGTATGTATTGAAATACAGTATTGTTTTTTATTGCATCATGATCAAGTCCAGTAGGACTCCAAGAGAGCTCAATGCCGTAGAGGAAGAGCCGTGACACACTAGTCATAACAACAGCCTGCCCAACCAGCTCACAACTTCAAGTGTCATGTCATCTTAGGCAATCATTGGGTGGTATCTGACGATTGTGTGAGATGCCACGAAACGTGGAGGTTGCGACTAATCGAGCTAACTGTTGTTTTGATTAGTGAGGTAAGTCCCTGGCTGTTTCGATTAACATGGCACATCCATTTTGCCATTGTATGTTGAAAAGGACTGTCCAGAATTGTTGAGCTTCTAGTAATGGATCATCTTAGTACTTTCAATAGGAACAAATATGTAAGTGGAGGAAGACATTGGAATTGGGGAAATGCCAAGGTGAGAGACAGATAGATGACCGACAACATAATGACAACAGAGAAAGACGGTGACCCTGTGACTGCGTGAGAGATACCCTGCATACGCACCGAGACCAGATGTCATTGCAAACCAAAGGACTTTATACGGAATGTTTAGTGTTGAGAAACATACAGTGATATATTTTGAATGTGTTGCAATCAGAATTTGTTTGCTTCATGCGGGCTTGCTCTTTGATGTCTATGACCAATGTGTTTTCTCCTTATCTCAGGGTCCGATGGGTGGATTCGGATTCAAAGGCGACAAAGGCGCACCCGGAACTCAAGTATGTTGTATCGGCTTAACTTGAATTGCATTCACTGCTAAAAAGGCTTTACAAATTTGGCTGTGCCCTGGTTGCCATGTTACAGCCTAGTAATTCTTCATTACTATACCATCGATAGCAGCAGATGATACTCAAGCTGGCAATTTCAGATTCTAGATGAATTGGTTATTCCCAATCTGGACACTTATTAAAAAATTTAGTTTCCCAACTCATACCAAAGTCTTAGTTTTATTACGGTCCCAATGATCGCTGGGTACTCACTTGAAATCTGAGGGGTGGTAAAATTCAAGATGAACTTGTGAAAAGAGAACAGTCATATAGCAGTGGTTGTTGTAAGCCTTGAATTCAAGAAGCAACTGCAATTGGCCCAGGCGCTATGTATAATAGCACTCTAAACCTGTTTCGAAGAGGGATAGGTGTCATCAAGAGAAGTTATGTACTCCTCTTGTCATGTGTTTGCCATACTGACCTGTCCATTGACTCTTGTCCATGCAGGGAGGCCTTGGAAGCCAAGGACCAACAGGACCATCAGGACCACCAGGCTTAAGAGTAAGATAATTCACCACACAAAAAGTTGTTCTAATTAGAAAGGGCCCAAGCTAGTGGAAAGCGCAGATGCTTTTTTCTGTGTGTGTAACTACTGAGCACATGGGAATTCGAATAATTTTTGGTAGTTGGTATTCAAGGGCAGGTTATGTACAACTTATGAGGGGGCTGGGTAGCAGTGGTACTGGGGCCTCCACCTTAGACTGTTTATGGCCGTGTACATGTACATGTACTTCACTGACTGACAGGATACGCCAAACTCCCCGTAGTCCACCATATGGACACCATAATTCAACGGTGGTGTTTTCTCTACCATCATACGAGTAATTATACGTGTGTGCCTGATAGTGCTGCTGCTGCTTGATACCTGTATACGCTTCGGGTATTGCACTGCATGAGTGTGAGGAGTAGAATGTCTTCCCCATGAGGCCGGACTCCACAATGCAATGCAGTTCTTGCTGCTGTGCACTGGTCTGCATTGCTCCAAATCATAAGCTTGTGCTCGGCAAAGCTTATCCAACAATGCAAGCTGGTTTGCTCTGTTAAGCATTTTCGAGCAAGCTACAGTGCAATTATTGGTGACGTGCACCCAGGTAACTTGTTTTCAACCCCCTCCCGGTGATGGATCACTTGGTTGGTATCGCTCCCATTGGGGCAATCATTATGGAAGGAAATACCAAGGCAATGCTGAACAAAACCATTCTATAGGGTTTCCCAGCACAGTAATACTGACAACTGTAAATTTCTACCCTCTTCTTCCAGGGACTCCCCGGAACTGACGGCACAGATGGTGCTGCTGGTACTCAAGGAGCACAGGTAATTGTCCTGGCTGAGCCGTTGTGGTGCCCGGAGACTGGGCTTGCACCGCCGCTGCACACTTTCAATGATTCAATGGTCTTTTTTTCATTACAAATGGTGGATGAGTGCAGTATGCTAGATATAATAATAATAGCCATTGCTCATTTGCCGTGATGATCTCCGGTTATGTAGCTCTATTCCGTGCCATCTGTCGTGATCACAGAGCGTCATTTTAGTTTTTTGTCACGTCGGATTGAGAGTTGAAAGTATGTTAGAAATCATAATACTTATGTTGCCAAGATCATGATGTGTGTAACCTGCTATTTCAATGATGTGGCGTTGCATACATTTTCCTTGTCATTTTAGGGAGATGCTGGCTTCGATGGAGTTCCTGGCAATGGTGGACGACGCGGCGAACGAGTAAGTGAACTGGCTGTAGAAGCTGTGCTATTTGCTGCTCGGTGGGCCTTGCAGCTAGTGCTGTAGTTCAAAGCACGTCACAGAATGACAACCTGGTCAAGAAGACCTCTTGAAAGTACTCTCTTTGCAGGCAACAGCAGATATCTTGGAAAATGTTCACCAGTCGTGTTATGTTCAGTTCTCTTTCTCTTTCCTCTCTCTCCGTATAATTCCATGTTGCCATGGTCATCTCTCACCCGTAATCTCAACTAATTGATTGGCCGTCTTTTGACATGCCAGGAGATGTTGTCTAAATAGAATGAAAAGTGTCAACGTTTGTGTTGTGTCTCTAACCAAGAGACTGTGGGTTCACACGTAGAGTTTACATACAAGTTTATTCTACGGTTGCAAAGCAATAAGAAGCGTTGAGGTATGATTGTGCTAGAGGATATAGGAGTTGTATCCCGGGTGCGGGATGCGTTGGGTGTTGGGTGGCAGTACAATGAATTGCTATAGAGAGTTCATGCCTAAGCGGTTGTGGTTTTAGGGTGGATCAATAGTACTTGCAATTAGATGAATACATGTCTGGTACATACACTACATTCCTCCCCTAAATGTTATGGTACATGTTGAGCTACGAGGTATTCCTATACGGCATAACATTTAATGCACAAGAAGAAGAAGCGGATGAGCTGAGAGCACGGGACAGCAATTGTGTGAGCAAGAAGCAATTCAGTCTCTCAGGCGAGCCGGCAGGACTCGGGCTCTCGGCGGGGTTCAGTCGTATCTTGTGCCAGCGGCGACTGGACCTGCTGCGTTGCCGTAGTTGCTGCTACTGGTGTTTGCGCAGGCGGAGGTGTTGGAGTAGCAGCGGCTTGGACACTGGGTGGTGTCGGAACACTAGCTGGCGAATGAGCAGTCGGAAAGCACAAACTGTGATCCGGTTCTGCCACGGACGGCAAAGGCGCTGTGTTCATCGGTACGGATGATTGCGGAGCGGAGTCGGCTGACCGGACCTGGACCGGACCCCACATGACACACCCTTGGTGTAGGCCCAGCTCATCTTTGCGTCGTACAAACGGTTGCATGTCACCGTCGGTTGTTGACAGGGCCCGGCCGGTGCTGACACTGGTTAGGACCTTGGCGAGAACTGGGTCACGGTTTGTGTGACGCGCTATTTCAGCTGCCGTGACTGGAAGCGGGTCGATCTGGGCCATGTTGAACACGTCTGCCCAGTCTAGGCTCTCATCCTGTGGTGAGTGTGGCAACGGTAGGCGTGACAGCCCGTCAGCGTTTGCATGATCGGCTGATTTGCGGTACTTGATCTCATAATTCATGCTTGCTAGGAAGATAGCATACCGCTGTAGGCGGGCCGTCGTCATGGCTGGCAATCCCTTGCTAGGACTGAAGATGGCTGTCAGCGGCTCATGGTCCGTCAGCAGGACGAACGGTCGGCCAAACAGGTACGTGTGGAATTTGCGGACGCCCCAGACAATAGAGAGCGCCTCCTTATCGATCTGGGCGTACCGCTTCTCGGTGTCCGTCAGGGACCGTGACACGAAGGCAATCGGCCTTTCCGTACCATCCGGCATGATGTGCGAGAGCACCGCCCCCAGGCCATATGGTGATGCGTCGGTTGCCAACTGCACGGGCAGGTCGGCATCAAAGTGCATGAGGACCTGATCCGAGGCGATGGCTGCCTTGATAGCCTTGAATGCAGCCGCGCATTCCGCTGTCCAGCGCCAGGACTGACCCTTCCGGAGCAGGTTGTTGAGTGGATGCAGGGTCGTGGAGCAGTCTTTGAGGAAGCGCTGGTAGTAGCACACCATGCCCAAGAAGCTCCGTAGCTGGGACACGTTCTGCGGTGCTGGGGCTTCGTTGATAGCCTTGACCTTGCCATCAGTCTTGCGCAAGCCGTGGCGACTGACAATGTGTCCACAGTACTCGACTTGGTCTGCAAAGAACGTGCACTTGGCCGGGTTGACTCTCAGGCCGTGGTCCGACAGACGACTCAGGATGCTTTCCACATTGTCCAGGTGGTCATCGTCGTTGCGGCCGGTGACAATAATGTCGTCCAGTAGGCAGGCCTGGCTTGGGACGCCGTGCAAGATGCGGTCGATAGCCTGTTGCCAGAGCGCTGGGGCAGAGGCAACACCGAACCCGAGTCGGTTGAGCTGATACAGGCCCTTGTGCGTCGTGAGTGTGAGGAGTGGTTTGGATGCGTCATCCATCTCCATTTGGAGGTATGCCTGTTTTAGGTCGATTTTGGTGAATCGCTGGCCTCCAGCCAGGGTGGCGAAGACATCTTCCACGCGTGGTAGCGGGTGCTGGTCCACCTTCAGGTGTGGATTCAATGTGGCTTTGAAATCTCCACAGAGACGAACTGAGCCGTTGGGCTTCATCACAGGCACAATAGGTGTCGCCCACTCACTCCACTGTACCTTACTCACGATACCCAGACCTTCCAGCCTGTCCAGTTCAGCTTCCACCTTTGGCCGCATGGCGTAGGGCAATGGGCGCGCCTTGAGGAAGCGAGGGCTTGCATCGTCCTTCAGCTGGAGACGAGCCTTGGCGTCCTTGAGCTTGCCAAAGTCGTCGCTGAACACATCGGAGAATTTCTCCTTGAGCTGCTCAAGACGCGTACCTGCTGATCCTGGATGCTGCTGGCCAGGGGACACGGTTGCGGAGGGGACGCCAGCCATCTCGACCTGGAACAAGCGCTGCCAGTCGAGAGCGATGTGGGCAAGCAGGTCCCGGCCACAGAGCGCTGGCCCCTGCGTGTCCACCACATGCAGTGGTAGCTCCGCGGATTGATGGTAGTATTCCACGCGTGCTACGAACGTTCCGCGAGGATGCACGGGCTCGCCGGTGTACGTACGCAACTTCAGCTTGCTCGCGGTGAGAGGCGAGGCAGACAGCGAGTTTCGATAAATCGCACTCGGAATGATTGACACCGCAGCTCCAGTGTCGACCTGCATGCGGACCGACTGGCCATTGACGATAGCATCAATCCAAAGTGCCTTCCGCGCGGTCGTGGGTGTCGTTTCATCCGTGGCGACTGCTGGCGCTTGAAGGACGTCTGCGGCTAGAAGAGAAAGTGAATTGAACTCGTCGTCGTCCGCGACATCGACAGCCAAGCTGTGGCAGGCGCTGCTACCACTTGAGCGTTTCGCTGAATCTGTCGATCTTTCCGCGAGGCGCTTTTTGCAAACCTTGCGGAGGTGCCCAGTCTTCCTGCAGTGGCGGCATTCATATGCCTTGAAGGGACATTCACTTGCGCCGTGTGCCGTCGAGCCACAGCGGAAGCATGCTGAATAGCTCGTACGGGATTGACCTGAGTTCGCGGACTTCGCACCTCCGAACGATGGTCTGCCAGCACGACGATGTTGCGATGTGCCCAGAACGTGTACACCAGCAGCAGTGGCACTGCCCGCGAGCTCGGATGCATCGCGAGTAGCTACCTCCAGGCTGTTGGCTTTCTCGATGGCGGTCTTCAGAGTGAGGTCCTTCTCTGCCAACAGAACTTTGCAGAGAGCTTGACTCCTGATACCACACACGAACCGATCCCGCAGCGTGGTATCCAGGACATCGCCAAACTCACAGAATCGTGCCAACCGTCGGAGCTCCGCGAGGTAGGCATTTACTGACTCTCCTTGGCGTTGATCCCGCTTGTGGAAACGGTATCGTTCCGCGATCACCAAGGGCTTCGGAGCACAATGCGCAGCCAGCGCGTCGGACAGCTCCTTCAGCGTCTTGTCCTTCGGTTTGTCCGGGCTGACCAGGTCAGCCAACAGTTTGTAGGTCAAGCCACCAATCAGGGTCAGGAAGGTGGCTACTTGCCTGTCTTCGGCCACATTGTTGGCAGCGAAGTACTGCTCGACGCGGTCATAGTACGTAGACCAATCCGTCGTTCCAACCGAAAATGGTTCCATGGCTCCAATTGCAACGGCCATCTTCGTCGCCAGTTGTTGTGTCTCTAACCAAGAGACTGTGGGTTCACACGTAGAGTTTACATACAAGTTTATTCTACGGTTGCAAAGCAATAAGAAGCGTTGAGGTATGATTGTGCTAGAGGATATAGGAGTTGTATCCCGGGTGCGGGATGCGTTGGGTGTTGGGTGGCAGTACAATGAATTGCTATAGAGAGTTCATGCCTAAGCGGTTGTGGTTTTAGGGTGGATCAATAGTACTTGCAATTAGATGAATACATGTCTGGTACATACACTACATTTTGGTTGCTAGGTTCGATCCTATTACCTGATAGCTGTCCTGTATCGCTTGTTCTACAGGGACCAAAAGGAGATATGGGACCGAAAGGTGAAATTGGACCTAGTGGAAGCTTTGTAAGTCTATTCCTACACCATTGAATAAACCATAGATACGTGTAAGCCTGAGGCCGTGTTCACTGCAGTACACCTCGGCAGGAGTCAAGGCAGGATGGATTTGTCACACATTCATGATGCTTATAGGACCGTAATCAGTTGATATTCGCTTGCCAATGACTTTTATCCCGGGATAAATAGAATTTGACTGGGAGGTACTTCCCTTCAATGGTCACACGACGGCCCGCATTTGGTGGTATGAATGTATAGCTTGGGTTGAGCACCCAGGCCGCAATCAAATTTCATCCAAGGACAAGTTTCATCTCATGGTAGCATGTACTGTAAAAGCCATATATATATAACGAAGTACTAACTCTAACGAGTTAACGAGGAGAAATATGTCGTTAAAATAGAAATCGTTATACAGAAATCGATACATATACTGTCCTATTGAGCGTTGAGAATAAGTGAGAATCGTTACCTTTGGTACACGTAAACCAGTCGATTTTGGGAAATCGTTATACTTATATGCGCCTCATTGGAGTAATGGCTTTTACAGTAAACACATGATGGCTCGAGTTTCCCAATTCCTGGTAATGAACAACAATAATGATAATAGAACTGCCCTACCCTAACTCAAGCTCTATCGATGAATTCATGTTAAGTTGTGATTCCATTTCTCTTTTCTCAACGTATTCAATATTGAGTAGTTGTAATAACCATATCCCTTTCTTCTTTTTGCTAGGGTACTGGTGGAGAACAAGGCACAAAAGGAATAAAGGGCACATCAGGATCTAAGGTAGGATTTTGTGTGGACATTGGACCTGTATTATTAGCATTCATATTTTTAAATAACTATCTTGTGTTTATGCGATCCCTTCTCCCTCACAAATACGCTGTGTACATTAAAAAAAGTTCTGCTGGCCCAGTTATTAGGACAAGTATAATAGATGCTGACATGTCGCTCTGCTGGCCCAATTGTTAGGACTATGCTTATGTCAGAAGTAACATCGAACATGTTAGTCTTGTGAAAAAAGAGTTGCTATATGCAAATGTTCTGTGCATACTGTGCTGTATATATTCCCTGGTGAAGACCCAAGGGCAAACCTTTTGGAGAGATATAATTCTTGAATTGCAGTGTAAGACTTTGCCGGTGGTGGTGGTGGAAGTGATACTGACTTCTAAAGACACTGTGTTGCTTTGCACGGAACTCGAGCTCGATTTAGGCTAAGCCTGTGGAGAATCTATAAATACAAATACAACATATACAAAAGTCTGAGTTTTTATTGCTGGATGTCGAGTTCCTTTGGTGCTGGATGTACACGCCTGTGCCTCTGCCCACAATGAGGGTCGTGTGGCCATCTGTTCAACTTGTTCTATATCCCAGAACATAATTCAAGTTAGTTTCTGGCCAAGTACTCGTAACGGCTGTACCAGCGTTGCATCAATTATGTCTATTTAGCACTCGTAACGGCTTTTTCTCCTGCTGTCATGCACAGGGTAATGGCGGACGCATTGGCATTTCAGGTCCAGGTGGACCTCGTGGACCCCCTGTAAGTGAACGTACCACACATCACTCCCCTGTTGTAGGATTGTTATGTGACACACATTGCCGGTTTCTGTATGTTGCTAAGTAATGCCTGTCATCTCACTGGGATGCACTTGGTAATGCCTAATGGGAGTTTTGGCATCTAATGTTGAAACTGCTGTTCTTTTATCACACAGGGACCGAATGGATTAAACGGTGCTGACGGAAGCAAGGGCCCCAAAGGCAACAAGGTACGAGGAGCATAGTTGTATGAAGGTCTCCATGTACTTTTCCATTGCTTTGTACCCACGTTTACCCGTGTCTACCCGTGTGCGCACCACTTTCCCAACTTGCTAGACACTCTGCTGCGGGTCATCATGGCATTCTGCTGTGCCGCCGCCGCATGTATTATGAGATGAACCAATGCATGTACAGTCACTGAGTGCTGGTGTCAAAGTGTTAGCAGGGTTGGCTGCTCTGAAGTTCATCGTCGAAGACTTTCGAACACAACCAGTCCAAGTTGATGTGGTTTTACCGTAACTGTTATGGGTGGATGAACTGTTGGGAGGATCAGCTCCACTGGGTTTGAGATATCCTCTCTATCCTCTCTTCTTGCTCCACTGGGTTTGAGATATCCTCTCTTCTTGCTCCACTGGGTTTGAGATATCCTCTCTTCTTGCTCCACTGGGTTTGAGATATCCTCTCTTCTTGCTCCACTGGGTTTGAGATATCCTCTCTTCTTGCTCCACTGGGTTGGAGATATCCTCTCTTCTTGCCTGTGCTCTAACTGAGTCTAACGCAAACCGTGAATTGTTTTTTCTGCGTTCCAGGGACCAGGAGGCCCAATTGGACTTCCTGGATTCCGAGGTGCTAATGGTGACAAGGTGAGTAATCTATTCCTGTCTTCGCCTACGTAGGCTTTCAGTTGATGAGGAATGCACTTCTCTATTGACATTATATAGTCAGCAGGTGGACTGAATATGTATGATCCATGTATCTATACTTCTTTGAATGTATCTAGTACCTTGCCCAATTCATATGGCTGTATGTACTTTGAAGTATGTATTTGTGTGCGGGCCGGGGGGGGGGGGGGGGGGGTTGTGTGCATGTGTGTGTGTGTGTGTGTGTGTGTGTGTGTGTGTGTGTGTGTGTGTGTGTGTGTGTGTGTGTGTGTGCGTGCGAGAGTGTGTGCACATGTGTATGTGTGTGTTTGTGTGTGTGTGTGGGGGGGGGGGGGGGGGTATATGCGCGCACCCGCATGTGTGTCCCACCTATTCTCTATTTAGTGTATGAATGTTTTGCTCTTCTTGCGTCTGTTCTTGTACTTCAGGGCGCTAAAGGAGCCATGGGCACTATGGGATCCAACGGCGCTGACGGTAACAACGTAAGGAATCATCCCACCTCAGTGGTAGCACTTCAAGTTTTGACAAAGGAAACTTGCTTGCTACTCTCCAAAACATTCAAATGCGGTTCTGCATGTGCCACTATCTGCATGTACATGTACATGTCCCTGCCCGCATGAGGCTGGGCAATGGATCAGTAGCTAGGCTGGTAGCTGGTGCTGATTGCATCCTTTAGACAGTGAAAGCACTTTTCTTGCTCTCCTGAACTGCTCTGTGTATTTATTGGCACGATCGTCTGTCTCTGCTCTTCCTGTCTCGCAGGGCATGATGGGAGAATCCGGTGCTGGAGGCTTGGATGGTACCAACGGCCCCAATGTAAGTGGCAATGATGCGCCCCGCTTTGCATGTGATAGGGATCACAAGCACATGCAGCAGTCAATATCTGCACCATTGTTTCCGGCAGGAATGCTGTCTTTTGAAAATAACAACAACGCTGGTGTTTCATGCAATGCACAGCTAAACGTGTTGGGAGTGTTGTTGACTGATTGCACCAGCTATATGTGTGCAATGGCATTACCATGACTCTTCGCATACCATGGTATTGAAGTTGATGATTTCTTGGCTTTTTTTGTGATGCTTGTAACAGGGTGACCCCGGACCAAGAGGACCCAAAGGAAACCGAGGCGCTCCTGGCCAACCGGTATGTCTGATAGTATCTTCGACATGAACAGATTTGATACTGTTTCACAGCTTGTAAATATAGAATATTCCGCATGCATTCTATTTTCGTATATCTTGTAGACACGTTCAGCATATGTAACAAAAATGTGAATGAAATTCCTGAGGCAAGTTTTTGGATGTAAGAGTAAAAGAAAATCAAAGAGTAGCCAAAAGTCTAGGAATTTTGAAAATCTCCTGCTGATATTTTTTCGCATCATTCAGTTCCACCTGTGAACAGTTCTAGATCTGCCACGGTATCAGGCAAGTTGTTGAATCAAGATGTATTTGGTCGGTGCCTTGAACTGATGAAAGCGGGCTAGGGAGTTGCCTGTCTGAAGAGAGTGCTTATGTCTTCTGTCCTTTGTATGTAGGGTGATGTTGGCGCCGTCGGTCCTGCTGGTGAAGCTGGTGCAATAGGATCTCCTGTGAGTTGACTACTTCCTTTTAAAAAGCGCTGACAGTTTATTATATGGATTCCCCAGAGGCATCTCGCTTGTCGGGGGGGGGGGGGGGGTCTCCATAATCAGACGTGTTATTGCAGATGAGAGTTGAGCACTTCCTTCCTTCATGTCCTGTCCCAGCACATGTAACGTTACTTTCAAGAACTCCGCAGTGTGTTTCTAGCTGGTGATGACAGAACTTGAAAGTTCGTGATGCAGTCGAATGCGTGTAACTGCAGAGAAGAAATATTGTACTCTTGCATTTTGAATAGAAAGGTCACTGTAGAGACAATAATTAATAACAATGGCAGTGACTGGATTGTTGCTTCTTCTCCCTCTTGTCTCAGGGACCAATGGGCGTCATGGGCCGTGTTGGTCTTCCTGGACCTGACGGCAGTGCAGTAAGTTCACAATGTCACATTGGCGATTCGGAACGCCTTAGCCGACTACTTGCCCTCAGTATCCAGAATTCTCTGGCATCTAGCATTCGTAGTCCATACAGTGTGTAGCCCTTTTTGAAGTCATGCAGTGCAGTCCACTGCATCAAGAATAATTACGTAACCTGCATGGCAAGTATGCACTCTTGATAGACATTGCACTACACGTCCTCGCTTTCATCTAGGCTGTTGTTTCATGAATCTTAGGTGAGCAGAATAGACGTACTAATCGGTTTGTCAAAGGTTGTCACTAACTTTCGTTTGTATTTTCTGAATGTTGTAGGGAATGACGGGAGCCTCTGGTGAGCGTGGACCTGCTGGCAAAAGCGGAGAGTTTGGTCCACCCGGCCCTGCAGGTCCATCTGGTCAAGTCGGCAGCCTCGGACCACCTGTAAGCCTTCATCTTGTTGATTTATCCACATGTATATACAGGGTATCCTTCCTATAGCTACTCCAAGCTACTACCATCAGTCGGGGCAGAAGTACCTGGAACTGAAGTCTGATAGTAGAGAAGACCTTAGAGAGTACAACAATGTCTGATGATGACAGCGCGTCACAAGTTGGAGGACACAATGTATGGAAAACAGTGTTCCTGACTGTAACCAGAGACCAGTTGGTACGATAAACTATCAAGCAATGCTTACAAAGGAGTTATGTAGGGATGAAGGGAGAGCCATACCATGCTTGTTGAAGACTATCTAATTTCATGAGTACTGATCAACACCTCTTTTTGAACTGCACTGTATGATAATCACAGGGACCACCCGGCAGAGACGGTGTTGATGGCAGCGCTGGTCTCAACGGAGCAGCTGGTGAAACAGGCCCACGCGGATCGGCTGGAAGCAGTGGATCATCTGGCTTGCCAGTAGGTTGTGCATGTAGTATGTCACGATTTGTGTTTCCTTGATAAGTTTTAAAGATTTTGCAAAGCCTGCTTGGTGTTCAAGGTGCACACACATGCCCATCTTGTGGCTGGGATCTGCTGGGTTGTACATGTAGGTCATAGTAATGTGTTACTTGAAGTACAATTTTCACTGGCTTGAGGGAAACACGCAAGTACAGTTACTAGTGTGTTTCGACTCTACTTCCTGAATGCTTTACCAGTATTTCCCTGTGCCATATATATCGCACCCTTCTCCCTGCATGGTACACAATCATGTAAAACGCAACCATTGAGCGTGCCATCTTCATTTTAGTAGTACATGTGCATGTTTTCACATACAACATGTATTCACATAAAACCTACCACAAGAAGCTGAGGTATATGTGTTGTCTTTGTTACGCCTCAGGGACGCAATGGAGACCGTGGACCAACAGGAGCTGATGGAGATATTGGAGAAGTTGTGAGTAACTCAACAGCGAAGACCCATGATTATCGAGCATTGAAGCCTTTTAAGGCTGATGTGGATTTGAGCTCACTCTGACAATCAGTAACTTCCAGGACGGTATTCTAGTTGTTCACAACAGTGATACGTTCTTAACCGTTACACATTGGTGTTATGCTGCAGGGTGAAACCGGTGCTGAAGGCGAACGTGGAGAAGGCGGCCCAGAAGGTCTACAGGGACCCCCAGGCGAACGTGGTGAGGACGGTTTCGCCGGACCCAAGGGAGCTCAGGTAGGCAAGCCATTCAATCTCTGTCCATGATGTGTATATTGCTGCACTGATAACAGTGGATGCAATGAACTCCCGCGGTACAATGATTTTCCACAGTGCGGCGGAACAGCTTCTGAAAATGTTGCTTTTATTAACTTTGTGTGTCACTTCTTCTTTTCTGCACAGGGTGACATGGGTCCCGATGGACCTGCTGGTCCCGAAGGAGCACATGGTCAAGATGTACGTATCACTGTCATGCACTGTCATGCACTGTACAGTGATTGGTCATTCCTGTACGACCATTCTAGCATAGTATGACTTCATAAGTACGGCGCCGGCTGTGGTGAATGCTGCACCAGATTCACCCAAATGTGCTGCCCGTGCATACCTTGGCACCTAGCTGGGTGAAAGTCTGAGTATAGCATGATATTCTGTAGGCATTTGAGAACGAAGCCGAAATTCCCACAGGTGCTTTGCAGACGGCTACATCTGGTCCGCCCAATCCAAGGCGATCTTGTCACGGTACCGTACATAGGAGAACTATAGAATTATAGAAGTATAGCGTAACTCCATTTTAGCCTTGTCATGGCAAACTATAGTGCACCCACCAGTACTCTGTGCTTGGCTGAACTATAGTGCACCCACCAGTACTTTTTTTTTTTTTTTTTACTATTATTCACAAACCCGCCTCGTAAAATAAATAATTATGTGGACAAAAACAAACAGCTACTGAGCAGGGTCTGCACTGGGCAGCAGTGATGGTGAGGTACCAGGGGCTCCACCGACCAAAGGTCTCGGCTTCAATGCCACAAGCACGCACCAGGAAAAAGAAACAGAAATGTAAAGCAAAGCTAGATCTAGCTATGGGGAAGTAGAATGGGTAAAAGTACCGGTAGGTGTTTAGAAAAATAAAAACAAGATGACTCTGTGCTTGGCTGAACTATAGTGCACCCACCAGTACTCTGTGCTTGGCTGAACTATAGTGCACCCACCAGTACTCTGTGCTTGGCTATACAATCTATTTTGACTCTTCAAGAATTTTGTGTAGTTAAAGATGGAGTGCTGGCGGGTGCGTTAGAATTTGCAACGACTGCCTCCTTCACTATCAGTATCAAAGCGTAACGTAAGGCAGAAACAATATTGGTGGTTGTGAGTCTTTTGACAATGTGACATGTGGACTCTTACATAATAATATAATTATACATGTAGTGCTGAATGTGCACTATTTGACTGCTAACCACTGCTGTTCTGATCTGTGTGTGTGCTGTGTTTATCAGGGCGTTCATGGACGTGATGGCATGAGAGGTGCACCAGTACGTACACGATACACATGTGCACTGCTGCGGGTATTGTTGCTCCCACAGGTGCTACGCTACATGCTGAACCTTTTCGACATTGGACTGAGACAATGTGGTGATTCTTTTAGGCATCTTTTGAACCCCCCTGCACTGTCTTTATTTAGTTGCTGAATGCAACACTATGATGTACTGTTCACAAATATAGCTTCACGGTGCCTGATTGGGTGTAGCTCGGAATCAAGGACCATCTATCAACGGTGGGAACAATGCAGTGCCGTTGTTCGAGAGAACAGAGTGATGACACACTAAAACGAGCTTGTATTTTTTGAATCGGTGTGCTATGCAGGGACGTGATGGCGAGCCTGGCACAAGCGGTGTGCAGGTGAGTTCTGCTCTGGTTGTCAGAGTCACAAGAGAAAGACCAGCAGTTAGAGACACACAAATTATCCATCTGAAGTATATTGAATAGTGCAGTGTTTCTCACAATTGCAATATATTGCAGGCATGAATTAATACTTCATTGCCCAAGGCTGCATGTTGCCAGCATGGCAATGTCATCAGTCAGTTTTTTTTTACGGCAGGGCACACACACACATGTGCGCTTGTCAGCGACAAGGACGTCATGTCACCATACGTATCATAGTGCTCTGCATCAACATACTTGCAGTATTGGCACCAATGTTAAGTAGCGACTGTCAAACTGGAGAGAACATAAGGACAGCAGTCTGTGGCCATGCCTTGTGTGTATGCGTCTCTTCATTGCAGAGTCCAGCTGTGATGCACCTTGTCAACACCATCTGTTTGTGCCCTGTGTCTTTTGTGTTTTGCTGTGTCTTTAGGGACAAGCTGGACCTCCCGGCGAGGGCTGGATCATCAACGGTCAGAAATCGGCTGTTGCAATGCCCGTAAGTGGCCGGAGTGCAAACAGAACGGGCGCCCAAAACAAGCTCTTCACATGTCACCTAACAAACTACTACTCAGGAGTGCTATGTTGATATTTTTGAGTTCCCCATGGTCTTGTGCTCAGCGTACATGTAGCTTGATGCAGCTCACAACATGTTTGTTTTGTTGTGAACAATGTGCACACTGCATAACATACTGTACAGGGCACGGCCACTGGCAACAAGGGAGGCACCACCAACTACTTCGGCTATGACGGATACCAACAGTACATCAATGATGTTGCCTGTTTCCTCACACCCAATGGCAGTGCCAAATGTCCAGCCAGATGCTTGCTTTGACCTGTTCCAGGAGTATCCCGAATATCCATCAGGTAACGCGTTGTCTTCAGTATGCGTGGCATGACAGCAGTATATTACCGAATTATGTCCAAAATTATACCAGATGGAACCAACTATACATCACAAGCAATGTAAATACACAGTGTACAGAATTAGTAAAGTCATCTAGCATACACGTATCATCACGTTATGAGTTTGTGGCACACTATGAAGTCGTCAAGGTAGAAGTGACTAGCTCGGAGTGAGGAAATATTCTGATGCGTTGTTGTTGTTGTTTGAAATCTTTATTCTCACATTGTTGTTGTTATTGTTGTTGTTGCTGCTGCTGCTGTTGTCGTCACCACCACGTTCATGTCCCTGCGCCGAGCACAGGTTATTACTACACCACCCTGGATTGGGATCCACTAAGGACGCCACGCTAGCATATTGTGTTGAGGATGGTCTTCAGACATGCGTCCACTACAGCCCAACGGTACGTGTGCTGTCTATCAAAGATTCCTAGGAGAAGGATGAGAACTATTTTGAAAATTGCACTGACTAAATGCACATCAAATACCAAAAAACATGCAATGATAGCAAGGAAGCATGACTTTGCCTGCGCACACGTGATCTTTGTACCCATTTTATGCTTCATGCATCAGTGTTCAGTTATCCGTAATCAGATGAAAAAGTACGGGTTCACCTCCAAATACTGAAACTTCAATTGCCATTGCATGGTTGGTTTCTTACAATTGTGCTGCAGTACCACCTCATGAGGAACTAACACTGATAATCTGGTTAAACACCATCTCTGACATCACATCAATTCTTGCTGATGACAGCAGCAGCAATATGAAGCATGGTGGGCGCAAACTTCTATGAGCATGTGGGATCATGGGATGTGATTGGTTTTTTTGCTTTGTTATGTTGGGTATGCAGAACATCACTGAGAAGATCCCACACACGCAGTGCGGCTGCAGTGGCGTGGCACACTGCACATACACATGCTCATCTTCACCGCCAATTTCCACTAACCTCAAGATCAAGCTGAGTGATGGCACGCAACTCAGAGACAGCGATGTCCATATAGTACATGATGGGGTGAGTTGAGAATGCTTTCTCTGCCTTGCTTGGGGGCTCAACACGATCTTGCGCCACTTGATTATGTTATGTGTTGGCCTAGCATAATGCTACAGTATAATCCATGTGCCATTGATTGACCGCTATGTCCCCATAACGTAAACCAAGAGAACATGCCCTCCACAAGAGTTTGCAACTCCCACATGCTAGTACCCTGCTGTTCCGACAGAGAATTTCAAGTTGACGTCATTCTTATGATGCAACGCTCCTTGCACGAGTGATTTACGATGTTTGTACGGGGTCAAACGTATCACTTGTGTTTTCTCGAACTAATTTGCACAGGATAAAATGGAGATTGTCTACCACAGGTCCAGGATGTCTAATGATACGTGGTTATTCATATCCTGTTTTTTTTGTTTTCCAGAATGCGCTCAACGTAACGATCCGCGGTGATTCCGACGTATTCCCAGTCGTTGATTACAACGTGGAGCAAGTGTGCCCGGGTGATTCTGAAGCTACAGCATTCTGTGATCGCTACTGCTTCAACTAAACTGGTGCTGCCGCTATTGCTGTGCACCGACGGTGGTGCACCCGCGGCTAACCAACTCCTCTCTCAACTCCACGCTATTGATATTTGGCTCTCCAGTTTGAGGTCTGTACAAATACGAGTCTCTTCTCTGCACGGGCGCCGCCTGTGGGCCCGTGCGGCAGAAAGTCCTACCATCCTCCTCTATTTCTCGTTCAGACTCAGAAACACAGCAATGGTCTTATCACTCTGCTGCTGGTGGTGGTGCCACTGCTTGCCACTATTGCAACACCACCATCGTCTAACTGCTCTCACCTCTGTTGTAAAAAACTCACCCGTCTTTCTCGCCAACTCCGTTTTTCCTCCCTGTCTGCTATTCCTGCTAAAAAGCCGTAGAAGTAAATCTGTTGTTTCCAATCCTACCCATCTTGCCATGTAGTATACTATACTGCTGCTGTCGAGCATCCGACCATGCGACCATGCGAACAGGCACTTCTCAGTTCTCTCGGCAAACCACAGTAGATTCGCGTCACTGCTCGGAGCAGGTCCTAACTGACACGTTCAAATCCACTCATCTTATCGCCACGCACACACCCTCACACACCTGCTCACACATCTAACATGCATGATGACATACACATGGCATACACATATCACATGGCCATCCGTCTAGGTACACAGGCATCGAGTCCAGTGTCCCGCCACCAACCATGCCCTGAAACCATGGCTCGCTAATATCACTCCGGTTTCAAACTTTTTTAACGGTTTGTCTTTTGTTTTCTGTTGAACATGCACGTTTGTTCTGTGAGAATCTCGGGACACACACCGCATCGATTTCTTTGCTTTGTCTGCCTAAGAGCTGTGCTGTTTATATCCGATAAACGCAAACTTCTTATAAGCTTTGCTTGATCGAAAATTTCAAACCTGTTGCGGCGGAGGGTATGGCATTACGTGTGATGAGAACTTACCTCATGGTAGTACTCAGTGTGCGATTTAGGGCTCGAGATTCTTGTTGGAATAGCCAGTGACAGTGTGCCTCAGTGACTGGCGAAGCATGCAGTACGGTACATGTACCACTGATCAGGCATGGTGGGCTGCCGAGCTGGTGAGCGGTTGTTCCGCCGAGGGTGTTTCAGTGCACACAGGATGGCAAGTTAAAGTTAGTTCCATCCAGCCGCAGTATCTGCCCTGAGTCCGAGGCTGTGGCCATACCACCATGATGTGCCAGACACAGTTTCAACTCAATTTTGCAAGTAAAAGTAGAATGAAAAGAACTTGCCTCTGCATGTACCGATACCACTATATTATTAATCTTTTTTATCATTACAAGTATACAGCTGCAATACAAAACTGCAGAGTTCAAGCCAAGAGTTGTGATGGAGAGCTGGAGCTTAAACAATGACAGCAATGTCAAGTTTTAAAAACAGTGTTATTTTCCAGATTTCAGGGCTCTAGGATTCGTACATTCTATTATCAAGAGTCTGCGATATATGAACATGAATACTACTGTTGTAGCTCGCTTTCTCTTCCTGCTCCCAGTTCCGTGCCATCTCCACACTTGTACAAAGGGACGACGATAACTACATTTAGAAGACTGTTTATTGACACGACGACGAAACACAACTAGACAAGACGAACTCAAGACGAAGACATGATAAACTCAAGACGAAGACAGCTTTTCATACCACAGCAACACGCGCATGCACCAACATGACGTACACACGACGTACACAAAATAACGTACTACAACACATAACTCCCTCCCAAGAGTAGAATCGTCCTCGATTCTAATAATAAAACAGAGTAAAAGAGGAAAAGATCACACAAATCACTCAATCATACCACACCAGTCACACCCAGAAATAAAATACCTCTGCCTGCACTGCAGATTACAAAAACTCTGTCCGCCCACCCAGGACACCAGCCACGATCGCTGTCACACGTGTAGGAACTGATAACCTCAAAAACTCTACTTCACACAACACACCACCTCACGATCACGCAAAATTCTAAAAATGTGAGAGCACAAATCATATGAATAACAAAAAGAACAAATCCACTGGCTCTGTGGGGGCCTCTAGTTATCCCTCATAGAAGAGCAAATAAAGAAACAAACAGAACACACGCGCTGTGCGGGCGCCTCTTTACCCTCGAGGAGAGCAAAATAAATAAAGAACAAAAATGTTGGGAGAACAGAAAATACAAAACTCACATTCTCATCACGTTCACAACAACACACGTACCCTCTCACCAACGAAACTCCTCGCGCCGTCTGCCATGTCGTCCGCCATCTCAAAAGCGCTGCTCAGCGTCCACATCCTCACACTGCAGCCTTCACCTTCCATCCTTCTTTTTTTTTCCGTTTCAGTTTTTTCTTCTGGGCACAGTTTTTACGTCGTGTCCGGGACCACCAGTGACGACGACTGCCAAGAGACGGGAGAGGACGAATGATGAAGGACGATGACGACGGACGAACTTCTTCAAGACGGACAAAACTGTGACGATAGGACGACTGGAGATGACATCGGAAACTGGGAGCGAAGGCCACGCAGGACGAATCCAGAAGTTGACGTTTACAAATTTCTATCACCGCTGCCACCAATGTTGTAGCTCGCTTTCTCTTCCTGCTCCCAGTTCCGTGCCATCTCCACACTTGTACAAAGGGACGACGATAACTACATTTAGAAGACTGTTTATTGACACGACGACGAAACACAACTAGACAAGACGAACTCAAGACGAAGACATGATAAACTCAAGACGAAGACAGCTTTTCATACCACAGCAACACGCGCATGCACCAACATGGACGTACACACGACGTACACAAAATAACGTACTACAACACTACTAGTACTACTACTGTAGTAGTGGTCAATACTCAGCAGATCTGCTAGATTTACAACCAACCCACACTCCACAGTACGATCGTAGATCTACGACTCAGTAGATCTACGAGTAAACTAAAAGTGAAAGAGTCTGACGTGCTAGTATAGCTGCAGTGTGCATATGCACGGCGACTGACTGATGTGACGTCATCACTGTGCTCACTGCATGCTCACGTGATGCGTGCATCATTTTCTTGTTCTGATGCATGCTTCCTTCTTCAAATTTTCGTTTTGTTTGCAATTATTTGGCTTGGAATGGATTTTGTAGTTGTTTGAAGTAATTTCTGCAAGAGCGCATGGTTTCTCACAACGCTTAGCTCTATTGCAGGGGCTAGGCGTAACTGGGGCCGCTCTGGGAAAGTCGTGTTTGGCGACCATTTCAAGACGTCTCCAGCATGGAACCGCGTTTGCGTTGGAAACGTGTTCCTCACCTTTGAAATTTGGAAATGTTGTGCTGAAGAAATGTCCCCGAGCAAGAGTATTTGCATGGTCCACCAGATTGGAATCCTCAATTGAAGTCGCAGACCCTTTGAAACCATGCGAGCCAGCCGATTTCACCCTGGAGTTCCACTCGTCTAGCCTGGCTGGTTTATGACAGTGAGTTTAGCATCGCGAAAATTAGCTGAACACCGGTACAATGTAGCTAGCCACGTCTGAAAAATTTGAATGGCGGTGTATGTAGCTGTAAATAATCAGTTCTGTTTGCTTGTAGTACAACACCAGGAGACATGCAACGATGTTGTGAGTCTACTTTTGAAAACTGAAATTCACCGATATTCTTGTAGCACCATAGTTTGAAGGGACGTCAATGATTTTGCCATCCACCCTTACCGTACCAACACATACACATACCTAGTATTACCAGCAAGTAGCAGCTATCAGGCGCGGGGAAGTGGTGGGCGGGGGGGGGGGGGGGGGGCACGCACCCTGCTTTCTGTGTAGCCTAGTTTACATTCGACGGGACGCACGTAGAAAACGACTGGAACCGACCGGATGGTCATGACGCCGACTGACGGCGTCCAATGTGGAACACCAGGGATGATAACGCAACCGTTCTACTGTACAGATCGGGAAACGACGGGAAGAGGTTGAATCTGGTAAACTTTTCAAGTTTTCATACCGTATGCGGGGACGCAAGCGTACACACGGCTGCATTTAAACTTTTCAGGTGTGAACAGGAGATGGCGCCATGCGCCGACTCCTGCCAATGCACACAACTGCACACTTAGAATTTTTTAGCATTTTGAACACGACGCTTCCATGACAGGGGCGTCGGAAGGTATTTTAGTGTGGTACGGTCAGCCATCTGAAGTACAAATTTTACTTGTGGAGGAGGGATGGTTGAGCCGAAAATTTTGGAAAATTAGAGCCCAGATCGGTGGATTAATTGATTCATGGGGTAACTTGTGGCAAAAAGTGGTACGGTCAATACCGTATGTGGACCGTACCGTGCCCGACGCCCCTGCATGACAACTCGCCGAATGGCTAGCACGATTGAGTTGAATTTTAGCAAGATAAGATTTTCATGTCACTTTCTGTATTTAGGGATAGTCCAGGAGTGTGACAGACACACTGTTTATCTTTCCAGGGGCTATTATAAGAATGGCACAATTTTCAGGCTACTTTTTGGTCTTCATAAAACCGGGCATTGGTGAACGTGATTCTGCTTCATTCAAGGAGAAGTATTTTGAAAAGATGTTCCGAAAAGCAAGAAACTAGGCCCGAAAGTCGTTTCCGCCACGGGCCGTGCCTTATGACTCGCGCCGTTCAGCGTTGAACATTGCAACAGCTGCTGCATGTCGTGTAATGCGAACCGTACAAGATTGTACAGCTCACCCCAGCCGTCCCGACAGTCCCTTACCCTTGCCCTTGTGCACCGTCAGCGTTACGTCAAATGTTGAACTAGGCTTATGTGTTTGTTTTTTTTACGTCCGAAACCTCCTATTTTCTACACATCTGTAGCTGTGGCTAGAGGCACTGATACACACATGATCTGTGTTTTGTCCTTTCTTGTGCATGTGTGTGTTGTGTGTGTGTGTGTGTGTGTGTGTGTGTGTGTGTGGTGTGGGTGTGTAGAAAAAAAATGGAAAAAATGAAAAATAGGGATTCACTGGCCAGAAAAAGTCACTTCAAACAGCTGTGTGGTGGATACCAGGCTAAAAATAGTGGCGGTCAATTCATCAGCCTTGCAAGCTGTTGAATGGTGTAATCCCAGCACAAGCTGCTATGTCTAACATAGCTGTTCGCTATCATCGCTTCCCGCGATGGGCATGTCTGGAGGAGGTCTGAGGTGTGTGTGTGTGTGTGTGCGTGCGTGTGTGAGTCTGTGTTTTTGTGTGAGGGGAGGAGGGGATTGTCTATCGGACTGAGAAAGGTCATGTCCCTTTGTCCACATTTTTGATTCTGGGAAAACTTAAGAGTAGTGCAAAGTGTAGAACACGTCACCTGGCATTGCTCACACACTCACGATTACTGTAGCGCCGAAGAACTGCAAAGACAACAACACATTCAAATGCCACGTGACGTGTTTTCACACCCTTTCCCTTCCTTTTTCCTCTTTTCACCGCTGAGTAAATGTGCAGTTTTTAGACACCTAATTTCTCCCCTTTCATTCTCGCTTCGCGAAGTGTGGAGATTCGATTTTGATGAACTTGTGGCCATTATAACATATTGTAGTCTTCGAATCGTTTCATCATTCCCTGGATTGCCATGTTGAGAAGGGAACAACATGTTATTATTAGATTTTCTTAATGCCACGAAGTCACTTGCTTCTCTTGCTCTCTCTCTCTCTCTCTCTCTCTCTCTCTCTCTCTCTCTCTCTCTCTCTCTCTCTCTCTCTCTCTCTCTCTCTCTCTCTCTCTCTCTCTCTCTCTCTCTCTCTCTCTCTCTTCTCTTCTCTCTTCTTCTCCCCCCCCCCCATCTCCCGATAATTATTAAGCCCCCGTTTTCTTTCGACGCGTTTGCTGTGCAGTGAAGCCGAGACCCTAGGTCGGTGGACCACATCAGACCCCGTCACCACGTCCACGATTCA